GATGAGATGATCTAGGGTGCATATTTGATTTAAGTATCTAAGGGTCTGTGCTAAAATTAGATGTTCTAAACACTATTTTCTAATAAGTAGATTCTTACAAATCTATGGGTCGAGTCTACAATGTTTCCACAAATTTTAGTATACTTTTTAATTTGATAACCTTAGATGGTATGAATGTGTGATATTAGAGAACTGCTGGTTTGTATAAGCCAATCTTTGAAATAGCTATTTTCGGCATTTTGTATAGTTAAGAGTCAAATAGAAACAAAAGAGCATTCCAAACTTTTTTTCTTTTTCTTTTGTCTTGTGATTACTGCTTTTTAGAAATACACATCAGGTTACTGAGCAGCGTATGATATTGATATGAACTAGGTACTTCATTACATAGAAGTTGGGATTAATCCCATTTAAAGAGGTCATAATTTCTCCAAACGAGAAAACGAAAGATATAGCACTGTAGTCCTTTGAGAGGGCACAAACCTCCATATCAAATTGAATCATGAATCGGAGAACCTATTTTTCGAACTGTAAATTGAATCTATGAATGCTATCAATAAAAATATTGCATTATAAGTAAAAACAAATGACATATGCAAAAACATTAGCTTATATGTCATATATAAACATAAAATGTTTAAAATTCATGTCATAAAACAAAATGACAAGAAAAGTGGCTGGCTATCAAAAGTTTACAAACTAGGTGCCCAAAGTTGTCAAAAACGTGTCTGACTACGTAAAGTTCTGGGACAACTGGACAAGTTGCAACTCATCTGACTGAAATCAAGATTCTTGTGGGACTTATTTTCATAATAGATATGCAGAATGGTTTATCTCAGTTTGATTTATTGTTTTGAATCAAGATACAAATGTATCATAAGATTTTGATAACCATGACTAGATGTCACTCCCTTCCCTTTAATTTCTATATTTGCTTCCGGTTGTTTCCTTTTCCTACCCTCCTTGGCATGCAAGCAATGTTGTTACAATCCAAATTCTTCCTGTGTCATGCTCAGATTTCCACTTGGTCTTGCATCAGAGTGCCTAATAGATATTTTCCTTTGTCACCATGTGCTGCTACATGCAAACTTTAAACAGTTTGCAGATCTGCATATGTATTTTTTTTTTGTTGAAACATTAAAACAATAATATACTTCATAAATTGTATGAATGAGAGACTTCTTTATCCAAAAAAAGAACCGTTCTCACGTGCCATATGGTACAATGTAAGTTGTCAAACCTAGTTGGCTAGTGCACAAGTTAGGAAAGGATTCTCCAGAAAGTTATATTATGGAAAATAAGTATTTTGATTTTTGCTTTAAGACTTCATATGCTCAGAAATCCTGAGATTCTCAGAAATTTGGAGTTCTCACAGGACTATGCTGTAGAATGCGCATCCTCTTGACTTCATTTTCTTTTTATCTTGAGGCTTGTTGTTTCTAGACTGTTCTTTTTTGGAAGATATCTTCTGCTCTTTCACCTGTTGTACTTTTCCTCTTTCCTCTCTAATAAAGTTTATCTTCTAAAGATTACCTTAGGTAGAAATTAAACATCACTTTGTAATTTTTTTAAATTAATGGACAAAGATAACTATGAGTGGAACTTCTCGCCGGATAAGTACAAACTTAAAAAGTGCAGTATACATGTTTAAACATCTTTTATGGTCAGAAGTCCGCAACCTAGGTTAAAAGGTTTGATACATCCAGTTTGATTGGAAAATTTTCAGCATGGTTTACTAATTTTTATACAGGTGTGGCTCGTATGATCATAACTTATATGCTCTTGATTACAAAAATCATCGTTGTGTCTATAAGCTACCATGTGGAGGCAGTATCTATGGGTCACCTGCAATTGATGAGGTGAGTTTTATTTCCAAAAGACAATACATGTATATTGGTTAGTTAAGCATTTACTACCGAGTTCTGAATCTTTTGTACTTATTTGTCATGTAGGTCCGTGGCGTGCTTTATGTGGCTTCTACTGGTGGTCGTATAACAGCTGTATCAATATCAGTACGACCAATTCGTTAATCTATCAACTTAAATGCAAAAATTTATGTTTTTTTTTCTTTCTTTCTGAAGACTTCAATTATGTACTAATACAGACTGGTCTTTCTGTGATAGTCAAATGAGAAAAAATATTTTGACGCGACATCGAACTCCAACTCTTAGTGGGTAACACAGTTCAAATATGATTGATTACGTGAATAATGAATATACCAAGGTGTTTGAACTCATTAATCATCCACTGAACAGAATCAATCACAATTTTTTATTGAACATTAGATGCATTAATCTGTTAATACTGCTGTTGAAGTTGCCAACATATTCAAGTTAATTCAGCTATTGATCTTAAGTCAGACTGAAATATTCCCTTGCTAAATCCAGGCTTCCCCATTTAGTATATTATGGCTACTTGAATTAGACGTCCCAGTGTTTGGTTCTCTGGCTGTCACTCAAAATGGAAATGGTATGCATTTTGCAGTCTTCCGTTTGATTAGGTATCGACCACTCTTCCTTATACCTGTATACTTATTTTCCGTTTCGTGCAGTAATATGTTGCATGGTTGATGGCCATGTTCTTGCATTGAATCCCAACGGATCCATGGTTTGGAAGGTATGAAGTATGAACCTTCTTATATTTGCAAGTGATTCCATGGTTGAAATAATTTCAACTTGCCTTTTTTGTCTATAACATTTGCTCAGAAAACAACCAGTGGTCCAATATTTGCTGGGCCATGCATACCTTCTACCCTTCCTCATGAGGTACATCATTCTGTTCGAAAAATCTTGTAATATCTTGATATTATAATATGTTGGAATATCTCCAAAGATATTCTAAGTGATTAGTGAAATATTTATTTATTTAATATCATTATTCTTTTATTACACCCTAGGTGCTTGTATGCTGCAGAAATGGAAGCGTATACTCGTTCAAACTGGTGAGAACCAGTCATAAACATTTTCCCCTTTCTTGTTCGGCCATATTTTTACTTTGTACTGGTTGAATTGTATTTTTTCCGGTTAATATCTGTTCTATTCCATGTTTGATTAACAGGAAAAGGGAGATCTAACATGGGAATACAATGTTGGAGATCCAATTACTGCATCGGCTTATGTTGACGAGCACTTGCAGCTGGAGTCTGAATCTGATGCCTCCCACACTTCGGACAGGTTAGCCTAGTTATTTTCTTAAGTTAAAGCGACACTATCACCTATCAGTTTCAAACTTTTTTTTTTGTCATCTTCAGGTTTATTTGCATCTGTTCTAGTTCTGGAGGTATACACCTTCTTCGGGTGAACACAGATTTATCCGAAGATATAAATCAACTAAAAAGCGAAGTGCAGGAATTTGCAAGATTCACCTTGCCGGGGGATATATTCTCTTCGCCGTTAATGATTGGTGGCCGGATTTTTGTTGGTTGTAGGGATGATTACTTGCACTGCGTTGGCCTTGAAATTCCAGAGCAACGTGGGAGTTAAAACATTGTATTTTCTCCTCACAGTATTAGTAAATGCCATCCTAAAAAAATATGTTATATGTTTTTGATAATATAAAATATCTAGAGTGTTTGAAGATTTATTTAAATAAGTTTATTTATTCTTTAAAATACCAATTTCAATTGATATGTAATTATCAATCATGTAATTCACAAGTTCAATTTAACTTGGATATTGGAAGTAAATATTACAAGAACTGTGAATCGAATTAAATTGATTCGAACTCCGATGTATGCTACAAACAAATGCAAGTTTTTTATCCGAGCCTCTTAAACTAATTATCAACACTGCTGGTTAGGATAAATACGGGTTCTTTTGAACTTAAACATAATTTACATCAATCACCATCTATTAGAGATGAACATTGATTCGCCTTGAACTTACAATTAGCAATCTTTAACCAGTGGCGGATGGTGGATCTTGCTTAAAATTTTAGGGGGAGGCGTATCAAGGAACAAGACTAGGGAGAAATTCCTCTCGAGTCGCAAATATCAATTAGAGGAACAAGACTAGGGAGAAATTCCTTTCGTGACATAGATCTGAGGCAAAAATGAAAAATGATTTGGATATGAAAAGAACGGAGTGAATTTTCTACCTCAATTTCGTTCTATTGACATTCTTATTAAGTCCATATATCAAGAGTGTAAATATTTTTAACTTATTTAATTAATGTTAATTTACACCGCTAATTTTTTAGTGAATGTAAATTTAGAAAAAAATTGAAGTAAATTTATTTGCTAATTGATGTCTATAAATCTTCTCAATTTCTCTCAATTAGTAAGTAATATTTTAATGATATTTAATAAATTTATAGTTATACATTGTTAGTTTACACAACAGGAAAAAATTACATACTTTACAAATTAATATAAATTATATATTTTTAAAATATTATTGATACTAACTATATATAAAATATATAGTAGTCAAGTCAGTCTATTGGTGATGCATCTTTATAATCTACCATATAAGAAAAAACTATTTTGGGAAAAGTCTATTATGCCTTGTTGGTCACACATTGCGCCAGGTGGTTAGCTTGAAAACATTCTATTCATTTTGCTTCTCCACATCATCACTTCTTGTTTGCCCAAACCCTCTTCATGCGCCACACTCCTTCTATGCAACACAAGTTAATCTGAAAAATATTATAATATAATATTCAATGGTTTCTTTTCCAATGCTACTTCATTGCAATTAATGCATCTGCTTCTTTCAAATCAACAATGTCTTGTCATACAGGTTTATTAATGTTATTAGGTTCAACAAAATGGATTGCCTCAGAGATTTTACTTCTTCCTCCCATTTGCAACTCCCTTCATCTGCAAAATCTCTTTTCTTCCTCTTTCTTACAACAACTACTGTGTTCAGCTCTCAAGTACTTTCGTCATGGCAAGACCCTTTGAGAAAATCTCTGACATCAATGACACAAAGAAATAATAGAAGGTGGTTGTTAGGGTACACCACAAATGGTTGGTTGTATCCAACGATAAGTAACACGTGGAAATGATTGTCGTAGATGCACATGTAAGTTCTAAATCAGTTTCATCAATTCCCCCTCTGACTTGTGATTACGCCTTTGGTTTGGTGTTTTTTTTGGACTTGGTTTGCTTTACAACCGAAGTTCCAATGCTTTGTGACTTATTTATGTATTTAGCCTTTTATCTCTTTGGTTGGTGGTTTGTTTGTGGGTTTTCTGTTTATACATTTGGTTGGTGGTTTATTATTATTATTTTTTTGTGTTTCTCATGTATGCAAGAAAAATTAGTTTATACATTGTTTTTGGAGGTTTTCCCATGTCTCAAGACCTTTTATTTGTTAAACAATGATTTTCTCTTTATTTACTTTAACAGGATAATGATATTTGTGTTGTTGTGCCAACAACATTTATGGAAGTTTTCGGTGAAAGACTAACGGTAGTTCACACATACACCATCTCAAACTTCAAGGTTCATCAAAATGATCTTGTCTTCAAACCTTCAAACCACAACTACATGGTGAAGTTCACTGGAGGGACTTCCATTAATGACGTTGACAAGCATGAAATCCCACTAAAGCTTGCCAATTTCACCAGTTTTTCGGATATCATGACTGAACAATTTAGAAATGATATGTTGTTAGGTGATGGATGTTGATTATATTCCTCTACTTTCCTACCTTTCTTATTTTTACGATTTATGTATTGCAACTTTGTTTTTTCAGACAAAATAGGAATGGTTGATACCATAGGTTTCTCCCAAGCGCAATCTGGTGGGAAAAAAATCAAGTCAACTTTGTACTCAGAGACATTGGGTAACTTTATTTCCTACTTTGTACCAAGCTTTTATATAGTAATTTTTACTTCATATATATTTGCGTTATCATTTACGTAATTATTCTAATTTAAGAAACAACACAATCAATTGTACTCTATGGGAGTCATATGCATCCCAGTTCATCAAATTCAACCAGGAACGAGTGAACACGGTTGGCCCAACGTTCATTTTGCTTCAGTACGTGTTGAAAAGTATTTTAGGTGGGTGTTTTATCATATCCACAGAGATTGTGCGCAAGATATATAGATGCTCTTCGTTCAATAGTTTAACATTCTAAGTAAAGAGTTTTAAAAGAGTTCTTGTTTTGTAACATAAGTTTGTTGCAAAGAGTAAATTAGGGCAAAGATGTTTTGTTTTAAGAAAAGCATGTCAAGATTAGATTTCGTTAATCCCTTTCATATGAATCTGGTTAATCAAGCATGTGAACTTAGTTTCGATAAACATAATCGTGTATCCTCGCGAACCTGTTTATTTCTAAAGCGGCTCCGTGAATATTATTGTTTTAATCGCTAGATGATTTCTCGAAATAACAATCGAAACAATAAACATAAAGATCGATACAAAGCAAATATTAACTTTTAAATCTATGTCTAGAGTTTATTGGTTAATAGATGAAGAAATTAGATCAAGACTTGGAAAATCTATGTCTAGAGTGATTAAAACCATAAATACATAATTAAAAGCAAATATCTTCATCATCTGTTGATCATAAACCTTGTTCACATACAAAAGATCAAAAGAAATACATAAAAGCAATATTAACTACCTCTAATCTTGACACAAAAGTGTTTAACTACCTATCATCATGGTAACTTGATCAACAAGTAAGAAAAAAATTTTTGCTAGCATCAAAGTCGAAGAATCGAGGATTGATGCTCCAAATATTTGATTCTCACATCTCATTGAGTTCCTAAGGTTTTTGACCTAAAAAAACCCTTTCTATTTCTAAAATATACTGAAAAGTGTAAAGTGACAAGAGTTGGTGAAAATATCTACAAGAGAAGATATTTATAGCAAGTGCACAAAGTGCAGTAAGTGGTACCGTGCTAAGCGCCATCAGGAGCGTGCTTAGCGCAGTCAGCAAAAACAGAGGCAATTTCTCAGAGAGTGCGCTAAGTGCGGTAGTAGGTTGCTTAGCGCGGTTGGAGACTTTAGCTACTGCCTCAAATAGAAAGAGCGCGCTGAGACCGCGCTAAGCGCGAGTTATAGACACGATCTCCTCAAAAATCATCTTTTAGGTCTTCTTTCCTTCACCAATTATTCCTATCATCAAATATAAGCAAGAAGACCTGTCAAAGAGCATACAAATGATCATAATTCACAATATTTACAATAAAATCGGAAATTAGCATAATTACACTAAAACTAATATATTTACTACTAAAATATCAAGGAAGCCTTTTGAAAGGGCCATAATATATAGTCAAAAGTATGCACAATTTTCCCCTTGGAAACTCTCCCCAACTTACTATTTTGTTTGTCCTTAAACAAAAGTGTCTTGAACTAGAAACGAATCTGAAAACCCCACACAAGAAATCAAAATCAACACAATAGAACAACGACAATTTCATGGTTCAAAAAGTAAAAGTAACAACAAGATAATTTATCAAACTCCAAACACATCATGAAGATGAAACTACTGCTAAGTACAAAAACACACTTCAAGACTTTTTGAGCAATACAGTTCAAAATTGAATCACACCTAAGCACACATTCATCAATATATGAAAACAAAATGAGGTTTTATCACTCACCAAACAATCCTGCAAAAATCCGGAATAAATTATGCATTCAACAAATAAAATGCATTAATGAGTGAAAAAGAAAAAATCACAAGGTCTTCTAGGGTCGTAACTTGGCTTGGCTACAAGGAAGGGTCATTTATCAAAGTCATTGAAACAAAAATATCTATTCCTAAGGATCATTCCAACCTCACAATCACATCACTTCAAGACCTTAACCTTCTTGTTTTATTTCTTTGCAAGCATCATTACAACTTTGAGCTTTTTGTTGGCAATTCACGCCCAATTTCTTTTCTTTTTGACTTATTTCTTTCTTTCAAGCTCTTTTATCATGATGCCTCAACCTACCTTTTTCTTCCCAACTTTGAACACAACCAAAACATGATAATTAGGAATACTCTCACACATCTAAGGCAAAGAACAAATAGAGCAACCATACTTAAGGTTGGGGTTCAAAAAGTTTCACAACAAAATTTGAATTTTCCATTTCAAAACTTACTTCTTTTTCATGCACAATATTTACATATTTCAATTATTCACACGAATCTTGATACAAAGCTCAAATGGGTTATCAAATACTCGCTCACTGACAAGGAAAATTGATTATTCTTATTTGCTCAAGTGGTTTTTCTCAAAATGCACAAAAATTTCCTTGATCATTTTCTTCCTTTTTCATAAATTAACGCACATGCATGATTTCAACATAATAAGAGCGAGTCAAACAAGAATGTCGGTATCCTGCATATATTATACAATGAAAGTTTCCTCACAAAAGACAATGTTCTAAATGATTCAAAAATTAACAAGTATTTCAAAAGAAGTAATTACTACAAGTTTTACACTCATCACAAGTTTCATTTCCATGCTTAGTTTAGAAAGCGATAAAAATGTACCTTGCGTGGTGCCTTTACTCGATCATATCATTACCGCTCAATTGCTTATTGATTCATCAATCTTGACATTAGTTCATAAGGTTCCTTCAAGTTTTCAACTTAGGAACAAAACAAAATCAAAAATTTTCTACTAAAACTAGCAATTGCCAAAAATAAATAAAAATTACTCAAAATACTAACATAATATTGTAATGCCAAAATTTGCGACAACCAAAACAATGGTGCCGCACATGAGTTCCTCATCCTTCCAAGGATGGTACAAAATAATCCAGAAATACAATAAAAACATAACAATAAAATCCATAAAGTTCAAACATAAATATAAAAGCAGCAAAAGATAAGATAACCTAGGATCAACTACTCAGAATTGGCCTCAGAACCAATCTCATATGTGGTCTTCCCACTATCATCGTCGTCATCATCCCCTGCCACTGAAATATCCTCCACATCGTCTGCATCCTCATCCTCCCTAGCATCCTCTGGCTGGGGCACTTAAGCTCCCTGAGATGGAACCTACCCCCATAAGGCATGTCCACAGGCCAATCTACATAAGCGTCAAAGTCCTCTTGAGTCGGGAAAGAGTGTTCAACATGCGGCTCATGAACCTGCAAATGCAAAGCTCGCATGGATGAGTACAAAAATGAAAAGGCCCTCTGATGAGCCATATGCATATCCCACGTGTACATGCACACGACACGCTCATCAAAGGCCTGGTCAGCAGGTGGAACTTCGCCGTGCTGTTGTGGCTGCTGATCTGGGTGGCGCGGTGGTCATGGCTAGTCCAGTCTCGGTATACAGTGACTATGGATCCAAGTGTTAGTCAATACCCCCTTAATGGTATTATGGACCACACCTGAGATCGGGACACCTGCTCGCATGCACAAACCCATAGTAAGTCCTGGAAATACTAAAATAGTTGGGACCTTAGTGCCCAAGCGATATCCACTAGCAGCTATGGCTCGGATCTTATAAAAAATGATCCTAGCCATATCAACCTGTCTCTCCTCCATGATGTAGTAAAGCCTACATGCAATGTCAACTGGAATGGAGAAGGTATGATTATGTGGCCTTATGTTATGCAGGACAAAGGTCATAAGAATCTGAGCTGTCGTATTCATATCTCCTATCTTCAGTATCTTCTGCTTACCTGCCGCGTTCAACTTAAATCCTCGTCCCGGGTATGCCAAGGCTAAGTAGACATTCTCCAAATTCCAATTCCTCCTATCTACCTTCTTATAGTAAAAGCATTACTCACCTTCGGCCAAGACCAATGGATTATCCAAATATTCATTAATCGCATCTCTCGAGAATGATATCGGCCTCCCTATGACATAAGTCCTGAAAGTATACATCTGACCCTCTGTTGGAATGGAATTCCCATAGAAATCATGCACAATCTCGTAGTTGAGTAAGGTCAGTGGGGTTAAGAGAGCCTGTCATCCATGCGACTCAATGGTGTTTTGGCAGTCGCGAAACTCCCCTTGCGGGTTAATCCTAAAAATGCGCTCTGCCCAAATATTTCTCCGGGTCAGCTCGAGGTATCTACCTTGCTACTCAGCCCCTAAAAATCTGTGCACATATAATTCCACCGGCGGTCGTCTCAGCTGTGATGATTGTCCAGTACTGACTCAAACACGTTTTGGAGCCATCTGCAATCAAAGAAAAACATACCAAAACAACATCAAACAGGTTAAACCACTAGCCAGGAAATTCAAGAAAAAACATAAAAAAAAACCCAAGTTAACACAAAATAGTCAAAAATCGACGGAAAGTTAAAAATCAAGAAATTTGATCTCAGGGGGGCGCGCTTAGCACGGTCAGGAATGCAAGCATAATCTGCTATGTAGCCAACCTACCCCAAACTCAATTTTCAACAGAAAAATCACCAAACATCAACATTTTCACACACTTACATCAGGAACAATAGAAAAAATTGAAACAACCAGAACAAAGCAAGAGGGGCGCGCTTAGCGCGGCCAGAGCCCGCTTAGTGCGCTTGTGAAAATAATAAAAAATTCCTCTGCCTCCATAACCAATCTGTCCATCCAACATCAAAATAACACCCAAGCCAAACCTATTAACATGCATTAACAAACTAGTACATAAACAAGGTGTTCTCAGCATGAAAAATCAGATTTTACTCACAACCCTAATGGATAATAAAAAAGGGCTCAAAATCACTTCTACAAAATCACTTTTACAAAATCACTTCCCTCAAACCCTAAAAATTAATTTCAACTTATTCTTATCCAAACCCTAACACCTTGCATTCTAAAATAAAGAAAAATAAAGAACTGTTGTAAACCTGGAAATGGGAGATGAGATGAGAAAAATGATTTTGCACTTGAAGAGCAAGAGAGAACTTGTGAGAGAGACGCTGGAATGCCAAGAGATGAACAAAGTTGAGTGGGAAAGTGAGAGTTTTTGAGACCCTGCACTCTTTTTAAACTATCTGACCCATAAGCCCACTTAATTTCCCACTTAGGCCCACACTTGACTAGGCAAGTTCAC